AGAGGACTGAGTATGTTATATTAACACAATTCTTAATATAGAAATCTGTAAGTCACGTGGCATCCGTAGCTAGTGTAAAGTCATGGTGTAACGGAACCATATCGGAACCAGAACCGTATCGGCAATTTAGAATTGCACTTGTACTTAATGGTTTTGAAAGAAACAAAAAAATATAGATCATCTTGGGATTCCAGGGCCATACATAAAGAGATTTGCAACAAGTCATACTCCAGCCGTGGTAAGTAAAAATGCACTTCTTGTAACATGTGAGAATCTATAAACAAGACATTCACGTGCCACCACGCAATAGTTTGTTTGTTTGTAATTAAGCACAAAGCCTCACAATGGGTTATCTGTGCTCTGCCCACCACGGGTATCAAAACCCGGTTTCTAGCGTTATAAGTCCTCAGACATACCGCTGTGCCATTGGCTTCCTATCGTGCCTCACGATCCAGAAAGGATTACCATATTTACTTTGATAACTTATTATGCCGATTGAAATAGTCATCACTTCTAGCTGTAATAAATCGTACAAAAACAAAACAAAAAAAAACACGGCAAAAGCTAACAAAGCTTTATCGATGACCTGGGACTTCAACTTTCACAATGGCGTCACGTGAGTGTAGATAATAAATGTTTCCTAGCAATATGCTTGATCTAAATCAATTTATGTCTAACAAATATGGTTTATATCCTATAAATAATTAGCTATTTTATATTTTGCGTTACTTGAACACAATAAACTTAACAATAGTATTTAACAAATAAGAATTTGAGTAATAGGAATTATTGCCGTTCCTTGTCATACTCGCTAACCCTAACTAAACTTAAATGGGGTCTTATCAGACAAGGACATTTCCGAGCATGTAAACAAATATGATTAACACGAAAACATTTTCAAAAACACAAATAAATTATTTTAAACAATCCTGATTTTTGATCTGTTTCTGAGTCTAGATAAAAAGTTTTTCTAAAAGTAATCCTTTGTAGGTTTATTTTTCATAACTTGGCATTGTTTAATTGAAACTTACGAAGACTTTGTTTAAATCAAATAAAAAACAGCTAAAGCTAAACAAGCTCTAATACTTAAGAACCAGAAATGCTACATACTGAAAGGAATAATCAAACCTAACTACAAAGGAGCAAAAATCACTCGCTTCACAAAATTCCAGATTTTCATTCATTCCTTTAACATATACAATCAATTAATATTTTGGACGAAGTGACGTAAGTAAGGCTGAGAAGGGTATTGTTCATTTTAGGCATCATGGGATGTGTTTTGAAATAATTCTTTGCAGTTTTGAGCTTTTTTTTTTTTTTCGGGGAGAAATGGAGTTTGTTTGTAGTCTGTGTTCTTGCCCACTACAAGTATCGAAACCCGGTTTCTAACAATGTAAGTCCGCAGACATGCCGTTGTGTCACTAGAAGGCAGGGACGTAGGGATAATGTCCTATTACGTAGGCAAACGTCAAATATTGGAAAATAGGAGTCGTTAAATAAGTTCTTATGTGTTTAATCACTTAAGTATTCTTGCGTTCGTCCGTGTGGCTTTAAGACCAGAAGATCATCATAACTCAGTGTTTAATATCCATTTTTAGATGAATAAAAATAACAAATACAGAAAGGTGTTGAGGGGAGAATATCACCTGCTTTTTCCAAACGTTGTTTAACTTCTCTGTTCTATTCCGCCGACTCCACTACAATTCATCTCTGCTATACAATGCAACTCATTCACGTGAAACTTTCACTAGTTATAACTGAAAAGGAGCGTGACTCCCTCGTGTCAGAAGGATCTCCCAGCTGTTCAGATGGCAGCACCGTGCATTACAGTGACGAATGAGTCACTGTGCGGAGTAATTACTCGGGTAAACAAACAAAAAAGAAAGTTTCTGTATGAAATATGCTTTGCCAGGACAAATGAATAAACAGTAAAAATATATTACGTAAAAAAAGCACGTTCTCTCTCTCTCTCATTTTTTTTATCTTACTTCAAAAAATCACAGTTCTCGGCTTTTCATGGAATTTTATGGAAAATTCTTATATATTAATCTATATCACTGAAAGATAATAAATCCCGAGTGCTAAAGTCTAACTGTTAAGCTACATATATTCAAATACAAAGTGTGCGTGTAAACAAAACCTAAACCTACACCAAGCTATCTCCAAAAGACAACAACATGAACTATCAACCTAGCTGACTTGATGAGTTCCGATATAGCTCGGAACTGGAGAACTCGACAAATGAGAGATTTATTACCCGATAAAAGGAAATACGATTCATATCAACATCAGGTGAACAAACTTAACTGTTAAATTTAGTCTGAAAGCTGGATAACCTCAAACACTCTCGCTGTGAAAGTGGCCTCAAATACATAGGAAAGCTTTTTTAAAGTATGTTACTCCACTCCATTGGCCTGCCAGTAATTCTTAAGCTAGCTAAAGTGTATATATGTCACTTGTTTTAAAATTTTGGCCCATGGTTATAAAGTAAAAAAACTCTACTCAAAACTTGGTTAGTCTACCCAAGTAGAATGAAAGGTATCAATAATCTGGTAAGAACAACTTAAACCACTGTTCTTACCAAAGTATTGATACCTCTGCGTGGCTATCAGCTGACACAGTGAGTTTAGTAAAAATGTAAACTCCACTTATCCATTTCACGTGATGCTGGACAGACTTACATTACGTTCTCTGTTCCTTAGTTTTCAAATCCTATATACCCGGCTAAAATTAACTATTCACATTTCTCGAATCATCTGTACTTTTCCTAGGTTATAAACTGTTATTATGACCACTAGAATGGGAGTCCACCTTTAACCATAGGTTAATGTATCATTCAGTGTATAACGTCCCCTCATTTCAGAAGGCTAGACTTATCTTTGTACATTTATTTTCTAGTTTGTTAGGTTTACACCCACATGGCAACAGAAGCTCTAGTCCCCATCAAGTTGGCTTTTCCGCTCATCATTACAGAAAAAAATACTGAGACCCTAAAGATTTTCTTAACGATACTATCCCGGCGGTCGTCAAGCGTAATTCTCCCTCCTTTTGACCCAAGCCAGTGGTCACTCTTGTACCGAAGTTAACAAATACTCTCTGCTTGAAAGTACAAGCCAAGAATCAGATCTACAGTTTTTAGAATTTATCTTGTTTTTCTCTAAAATGTTGTACTTTTTCCTTCTCCAGAACGATGAAGCTTTATAACTAATTATTTGCGGATTTTCTCTACTACAACGAGACTTAACGTCCTAGGTTACTCGTAGCAACTCTCTAGGTGTGCTCTTTTTTAGGAACTTTTATTATCTAGATTAGGATAAGGCCTTTTTTTTTCTTTTACTTACTTCTACCACGTCTGCCAGGAGCTGTTTACAGTGAGCCAGCGAAATCTGAAAATGTAAATAAAATGTAAGACATTTCTGAGTAATTAACACTTAAGTGAAAAATATGTTCAAACTAAGAGAAAAGGAATGAGTCATGTTGTGAGATAGAAGTAAGTAGACTCGTAAAAAAGAGGTGAGGTTGTAAGGAAATAAGTTATGCGTGTAATAATGTAAGTAAACGACCAAGTAAGAAGATTTGTAATGAAGTAAACTTTAAAGTAGTTAAAAAGTAAACGCGTAAAAGGTAAGGAGCATGTAATTGTATAAGAATAATATTATAAGTGGATACAAAGTAGTAGTTTGTTGGATTTAGCGAAAAGCTACTAGATGGCTATTACACTAACGGTCCCTAAGTTTGACGTTCTACACTAGAGGGATAGCAGTTCCGAAACTAGGGGCGATTATCGCAGATGCGAAGTAAATAATATTGTAAGAAAAAACTAAGCAAATTAAAAAAATATATGAAGTAGACTTGGGTTAATTAAGAAGTAACGTGTAATTAGGTTAGTTGTTTGTATCATAAATAGAAGTTAATAAACATAAGTTATATTTTGAGCAAATATTTAAATAAAAGGCAAAGAAGGTAAGAAGGAAATTTTTAAATATCTAAGAAATAAACGTTTAACCAAAAGGTATTCTAACCTATTAGTAAGCAGTTAACACTTAAGTAAATGGTAAGCCTAACTTGTTAATACAAAACGTTCTGTTGTGTGATCTTTTCGTTTGTTGTTAAGCGCAAAGCTACACATTGGGCTGTCTGTGCTGTGCCCATCACGAGCATGGAAGCCTAGTTTTTAGCATTATAAGCCTTCAGACTTCTCGCTGAGACACTTAGGGGCACGTGTGATCTACGTGACGCTTTAAATCAGCGTCTAACTACCCTGCTTAAGATTTAGTACAATATCTGGTCTATTCTCGTTCAATTTAATGAAATTTATAATTTCATGATGTATTTTAGACAACAAAAAATAATTAATTAAGACTGGGGGGAGATAAAACTTTAATATTAAGACACATATTTCAAGATATTCATTCCATTCCGAATTAAAACCGAATATTAATTAGACTAAATACAACGATAAAATTAAAGCCAGTTTTAAATCAGTCATGGTAATAACTCTTATAACTATGTAGGGTTTAACAACAAGACCACAGGTCAGTGAAGAAGCGGTCATCGACCTCCAACAAAAATGGACATATACAAAGAGGCGGTCTGATGAAGACATAGTGAACGTGCAGAAGCACTCCTACAGTATCGATCGATACCGATTCTCAAACGCCAGACGGTCGCCCAGCGAGACGACTACACAGACCATATACCTCCCAAGTGGACGGGCGCAAGTTACGCAGGGCGAATAGTTTGGCATCTTACATAAGTATCAAGTAAGTGTTCTTTAAATAGTCTGTTCAAAGGCAGTTTGGACTTTTTGGGCTTTCAAACTCTTAACCGAAACATTAAGCAGTCGCGAAATGTTAAAACAGATTTTAGTTTTAGAAAGCATATTGTTAAATATGCATCTGAGCTTCCAGTCTAAAGGTGATGGCTTCGCCATTTCTTGTACTATTCCTATTCACTTGTTTGTTTCAGAATTTTCACGCAAAGATACACGAAGGGGTTACCAGTGCCGGATTAACCATTAGGCAAACGAGGCAGCTGCCTCAGGACCCCCCGCAAATATATTGTTAACATTATGAATATTGCGATATTTGATTTATATATTTATTTCTTATATTTGAATATTTGTTTTTATAACAATAAAGTTTTTTATTATTATTATTATATTTGAAAGGGCCTCCATTAGGATATTTGCCTGAGGGTATCCACATATCTCAATCCGGCCCTGCCTGTGCATAGCTGTCCCTAATTTCGAAATTATAGACTAAAAGAACGGCAAATAGTCAACAGCACACAACGCCAACTCCCAGGCCACTCTGGTTGGACCGAATAATGGAATTTGACTGTCATTATTATATCGCACCTACAGCTCCAAAGTGCGTAACGCATTTTTGCGTCAACGGGCCAAGAACCTCGAATAATCAAACTGACAGTCAGAGCAATTTAGAACTCGGACACGCCAAGTCCAGCACTGTACACATCCAAATTATTTTCGTGACTGTTTTAAAAGGTATTTCATAAGAAAAAACAACAACAACAGTAAATCCAGTACTGGATAAGCGTCCTTGTAATATTACGTGTAACAATAATGGAAAACAAACAAAATGAAATGTTGTTCTACAAAGCATTCCGTTCCGGAGCTGTCTCGGTAAATCGGTTCAACCAAAAAAAAGGATATGAATAATTATTATTATCAAAAGTTATAAAAGTTGATGTTACAGGTTGCGTTACTACAGGTTGCGTTACAGAATAACTAAGACAACCAAACTTCATAAGTCCAAAGAAACACTAACGTTGTGCTGTCTACAATGCCTGTCAAAAGATAAATAAAATAGAAACAGATAAATTAAGATACCATTTTTAAAATGCATAAAACGCTAGGCTCATTTACCTATAACTTAAATCGTGTTTATTATTTTTTTATATTCCAATATTAATTACTCTCGTAGTATTGAGAGCCCTCTGGTGTTCTTTGGTTATTTGTGGTGTCAGTTTCAAACATACTGTTTAAAATAAAAAGTAGAACGCGTATAGTCAGTTATTTCACCCACGGCAGTCAAAATTATTCAACATTTTATGTATGCATAAATAAATATAGGAATATTTTTCGCGTTTATTGTGGATTATTTCAATCCTTCGTTCTGATTCCTAATTTTTTTTTTTCTGTCATGTTTTGAGAGTCCTGTGTGATAGCCATAGATGTGGACAATGACAAACAGCAGGTTTTCACCAAAACCAGCGCACGGTCTTCTGTGGAAACTTACCACAGTAACACGGCCTGCACGTGCCCGCGTGTGAAAATCTCATTGTTGTTTAGTGCATCAGGGTTGCCAGGTTGGCATTTTTCTACCGTGGCTGGCCATTAAAATTTAGGTTTGCCCCTTTTTTCATATTTTGGCCAAAAATGTTTGAGTAAATTTGTTCAATTTTCCGTACAATTTTATTTCGTTTCTGTTTATATTTATATATACCTCTACGAGATGAAACGATGCTTGTACAACTTCGTACAAGACTACTAGCGCTGTATTAATAAGTAGTGGTAGAACGTTTTACATGCTGTGACGTGTATTTCAGTGCGGACATTGAAGAAATTAAACGAGTTTTATTTCTTAAATCTGATAACCTAAGTGGAAACCGTATTATGATATTGCGAAAAGAAAGTAACAAAACAAAATGAGCAAATTGCCTTAGAGGAACAAGAAGAAGATGAGGACTTAACAATTTTATTGTAATTTGAGACGAGTTATTTTAATTCTTAGTGTATTGTTGCGTCAGCGAGTCACATGACTACCGTGACGCCACGTTTCTAGAACTATCCCGTATCTTGGCGAATGCTCTAGTATTTGCTAGATATAGGGTAGTTTGGTATATATAAGAGGGGACAACGTGACGCGAGATAAAGGTAATGCAATGTGTGTGGAGATAGTGAGTAATTGATCTGCAGTCAGAAGTATTATTGAGCACGTTCGTTGTTATAGCGTTTGTTTAGCGCGATTGTTGAAGTTAAGTGTATCGGTAAAGTTGTATTCGGAAAGAATAAACCAGGTTTATTAAGTAAAGAACTTGTGTCGCTAAAGTTTCGTCGGAACGAAGTTACGGAAAGTTAATTAACAAACGGAGACGTAACAGTATTATAATTTTTTTATTATATATTATAATAAAATATGATATTTTTAAGATCGATTTTTGTTTTATAGTAGTGTTTTGTATGGAGTTTAGGAGTTGGCCTTTTTTAACCATTAATCTGACCATAAATCTTCACAACCATCTGGCAACCCTGTAGTGCATTGTTGTTACGTCACGATCACTGAAGACAGAAAATCGCTTCGTTTCCAGTCCGATTTCCTTTCATTTGAAACGTACATGTGCGAATTTTCATTAATAACCGAAGGATCGATATGATGCAGCTTCAGTCTTTATCTTTCATCACAGTTTACCTCGGCAAATAATCTAAGTTATTGGGGTTTAACGTTAAAAGCACTTCTTTCCAGACAGCTCCAGAGCATTTTTAAATCAAAATATTCGCTTTGAAAAAGCAGTCTCTTCGGGAATAACTCTCAGCCACGTGAATAATGAAACATTACAGCAAACTCAGGTTTATACTTTGTACGAGTCACGTGCTTTTTTCAACTTTCTGAAATATTTAGAGAAACACTAATTTAAAATTGCACATTCTAGTTATTTCTAATATGGGGAATCTAATGAGTTTCATTTCAAAGAGCTTTCTTCATCAAAAGGTTTTTAGCACATTAACGTGACTGTTTCGGTGTTTTTTGTTTCATAAATTTGTATAAAGCCACACAAGAGCTATCTGCGCATAGCTTTCCTTAATTCTGAACTGATAAACTAAAGAGAAGGCAGCTAATCAACAGTACCTTCAACCTACTTTTAAGCTACTGTTTCTGGTCGGATTCTAGGATTTGACTGTCACTCGTACAACACACCTACAGCCCCAAAGTGTGGATCGCGTTTTTATGACAAGGAGTCTCGAACCACGAATCCTCAGATTCACAGTACTAACCACTATACTAAGCCCAACCTCAAGTTAAAATGAATTTGGTCTGTCAAGTGCTATAAATCTGTTTGAATTAATGTTATAATATCACATGAAAATCGTGTACTTAAAGTTCAAAACCAAGTTTGTATATTAATTTGTTAATCTTTTAAAAGACAAGTTCTCGTACATGAAGGCGAAACGGAATGATATTAATATATTCATCGAAATACGTACATTTATTTTTCGCTGGAAATGCTGCATTATTTCTCCGAGGGGGGTTCTTGACGATGACCAACATGTCTTTAAAAATAAAACGATGACTTGTTGTTCGAGCTTTGTTTTGTTATAAAAATTAGTACCGATTATTTTTCTTTTCTAAAAATTACAAAGCCGGGCGTTCCACACTTGTATGCCATGGGTGCGCTATTAGAGTGACAGTCAAATCCCACTATTTGGTCAGATAAGAATGGCCCACGAGAAGGTGCTGGATATTTTGACTATCTGCCTTCTCTCTAACCTATCAATTCCAAACTTGGAGAAGGCTATACGTAATTAGCCCTAGAGTAGTTTTGCACGAAATTCTGAAACAAAAACAACAACAGAAAATGTAAATATTACGGTTAACAAACGTCCGTGTAGTAGTATTATATCTTTAATAAACATTACGGTTAACAAACGTTCGTGTAGTAGTATTATATCTTTAATAAACATTACGGTTAACAAACGTTCGTGTACTAGTATTATATCTTTAATAAACATTACGGTTAACAAACGTTCGTGTAGTAGTATTATATCTTTAATAA